CTCTCTCTCTCTCTGTGTCTTGCGCGCGCGCGCGAATGTACTCATCCATTGCCTCACCTAATTCGAATTGTTCTCCTCGATCCCACGCCGTCGTTTCCCTGAACTCGGATCGACAACCTGCCATTGCAGACGACCTTGTTTGCTGTGTGTCATCATCGTTTGTTGTTGTGCGATTGATGATATACAGCCATATCAGCAACAGGTTCTCTCCCAAAGAGAGAGAGAGAGAGAGAGAGAGAGAGAGAGAGAGAGAGAGAGAGAGAGAGAGAGAGAGAGAGAGAGCGTGTCAGGCCAGCAACCGCTGCTGAGAGAGAAAGAGAGAAAGAGAGAGGACTACACAACCTGTTTTCCCTGTCACCAGTCCATCGAATGGACCAACGAATCCATGATTGCCACATCAGCGACCGACACTCTGACTTCGCTTGGCCACGTACAAAGGCAGATCGGTTATGCATCTCCGCGTGGATAAATGCACGAGGCCGACTGCCACATCAGCGCGGGGACATTGCCACGTCAGCGTCTATGCATGGCTACGGTGAATTCGTCGCTTTTCTTTTTCTTCTCTCTCTCTCTCTCTCTCTCTCTCTCTCTCTCTCTCTCTCTCTCTCTCTCTCTCTCTCTCTCTCTCTCTGTGTTTACCTGCTCCTCCTCAACATCCCCCTCTTCACCTCCTTGTCCAGGGCATCCGCTTTTTCATCGGCCACCTCTACCTCGTCGTCATCAACATCCCCATTTTCATCAGCGCTGTCAATCGGTCGACAGATTGATCATCAATCATTTTATGGATTGATCGATTGGCATGAAAGGATCCAAAGTTGCAATCTCAGAGAAGTCCTTCTCCATCCATCCTGGTCGTCCTGCTCCCTCCTTTGCCTCCCTCCTCGTCCCTCCTCCTCTCGTGCTCTCCTCCCTCTTTCTCACTCCTCCTCCGTCTTGGACAGCGTTACCGTCGCCGACTCCCTCGCGTCATCGCGCGCACACACTTGTGTGTGTTTCGACGTGTTGTCATGTTCGCTATATACAACTGCGCAAAAAGCCGTCACTGTGCTAGACTATTTCGCCAGATTTTCACCGACCCATCAGGCGCGCATGCATCCGGGTCCGGTAAGCTCCCGCTTGCCACCACTTCCAGACCCGGCCACTCTCTCTCTCTCTCTCTCTCTCTCTCTCTCTCTCTCTCTCTCTCTCTCTCTCTCTCTCTCTCTCTCTCTCT